GGAAAAACAAACCGCCCCAGCCACAGAGGCTCTGTGAGTCCGTCTGTCCCTCCCCTGTCAGATGCCTACTTCAGGAGAGCAAGCGAAGGAACTCGTCCACTAGCACAGAGCCTTTATCAGTGGTCTTGGGGCCCAAACTGCAGAATCTTAGCAAGGATTTCTCTTCTTTTTCAACATACTTGTAGTTACCTGCGATCCACTCAAATAGACCTTATTCATGGAGCATTCCAGATCACATGTCCAACAGTTGTTTCAAGACAAAAAGAAAAACACCAAGGAAAAGCTAGGATTCAATAGGTTAATAAACCGCAAACTCTTTTCTGAGTGACAGCTGCTGTCCCCCTACTGCATGAGAGCCAGAACAAGGGGTTCTGACAGGTGAGACCACCCCCTTGTGGGTAAAAGCAAAGACCTGACTGCAAACCACACTGGCGTGAGAAGAATCAGTACTGTTGTGAACAGTTTCACCAGAGCTGAACTTGGTAAAGGGATTCGGTGATTTCTCAGACTGTGTCACAGGAGACAGAAGAGAAGCACTCTCTGTGCACCCCCACGCCGCCCCCCAAAAGCCCGTCATTGTTTGCATTCAATGAAATTCCTTTCAAAATCAACTTTCCACATCCCAATTATATTCAACAACATTCTAGCTAACATTTCGGCTGCAATTCAAATTAACTAATGCCCCAAAGAGCCCCTAATCGGCACAGTTCTGAGCTCAATTGAATACAATCAAAGCTCAGGAAACAGGGGAGGGGGGGGAACGCTTATTTCATGCAAATTCCAAATATCGCTCAAGCTTAATTTTACTGATAATATAAAGGTGGGGCATTTTGAACATTACAGTGAGTGAAACCTTTAAGCGGTGAGAGTTATTTTATAAAATGCTACCTCTGAAAAGCTGATTGCCAAACAGTATAAAAATGGTTTGAGGCATAAATGCCAAGTTCATTTCTATTTCACTTCTGAGGTAACTATCTTTCAAATCGCAACAGCTGGACTATTTAACACAATCCGGTGAATCACAGTGTAGCGCTTCTCTGGTCTCACAGTGGGGCGTCTGCATTAGTCCGTGGCAGCCATCCAACAAATGGTGCAGCGGCCGGCCTGAACTCTGTTTCATTTACAATAAAAACGGATAAAGCCACAATCATATTTACCACCTTCAAGGATGGAAAATGGAAAGATTTAAAATTTGTCTCTATAAAGTAGTTTTCTGGGAAAACTCCAAAGAGGAAGTCAGTTTCTATTTCCCTAGTGTAACAATAAGTCTTGCTCCCCTCCTTCCTATCCCTGCAGTTAGCAGAGCAGTGAACGGAAGTAGCGTTACTGACGCCAATGCTCATTGTTTCTTTTTCTTTCAAAAACTCTTGTTTCTTTCAGAGGTTTTCGTGCACCAGCCTGAAACTTCAAAAGCATTACATTCTAAACATCCGATAAGAATTTCTAATTACTATCAAGTCTCATTCTTGTGTAACTGGAGGTAGAACAAAGCTCAATAATTTTGGCTTTGTATACTTTTT